ACAATAGCCCTGCTTATCCCGAAAATGTTCTGCTCACCCAACCAGCTCCTTCAAACTGTGGTACGGAAAGCTATAAATCAACGGAGAACCTACCGATACCTCTCCACAATACGCCGATGCGCCGCTCTCTCCAAAGAATGGAATATCGCAACTCCAACAACACCGAAAATCCCCAGCGCCCCTTCATGGCTTCTTAGACAATCCTCTATTAACTGCGCGCTACAGGAATTTCCAAAAAATCACACAAACGGAGAAACTTTCCGCCAACTATTTTATAATGAAACAGCCAAGGAATTTTATGTTAATCGAACGTGGATATTCACTGAGGCAACAAAATCAGCTGAACTCACTGCATTCGTATGCGTTGACATCAATGGTAAAATTTTATCAGCAGGAACACTACCAGAATACTACTCTGTATTTTCAGCCGAAGCAGAAGGCAGAACTGGAAAGTTTACGATATGTACCGATAGCCTATCAACTGTAGAATCTGTCAAAAATCTATCTAACACAAACCCAACAATCGTGCAGATACGGGAACTTAACATATTTTGGGTTCCCAGCTACAGGGGCATTAGGGGCAATGAGTTGGCTGACAATGCAGCAAAAGCAATGTCAAAGTATCCCACTATAATGATACTCCCTTCAGCGGGAAAAGATCTGCGAAAAGGTTTTCTCAAACAGCTCCACTCGCAAAAAATCGAAATCTGGGCTAACTTTCATCACAGATACAGGAACTGCAACCCAAATTTGGAGAAAGTCAAGTTCCCTATCAACACATCCTGAACGAAAAACACTATTTTCACCCGCCTCCGGATAGGACACAGCAGTGGCACCCACAGCCATGTACTGTCAGGAGACCCAAAACCGAACTGCTCATTTTCCAAATATACTACCCTCATCCATCTTACCCAACGTCACAACAATAAATATAAATAAAATATATAGATATTTACAAGATTGTAATTTAACAAATAAGATATAATCCTACATAGAGCCGAGGGCCTGGTCGATAGCGCTCTTATTATATACTTAGCTTTAATATTCTTGTGTATTATAGCTAACTTTGTAAAATAAAAAAAAATAAAAAAAAATCAATTCAATATTAACTTAATACTAAACAATACAACTAAGAATCAAATTCAATATTAACTTAATACTAAACAATACAACTAAAAATCAATTTTTACTTGTTATAAAAATCTTGCGAGGCGGTGATTGGCGAAGCCCCCGCTGCGCTGGACCATCGACCCTAGCGCGGGTCTCCACTCTCGTCGGTGCAGATTGTAATACCCTGCTTTGGTCCTTCGACGCCTTTGGTAGATTGTTGCGGGCCACTTCGAAGATTTCTTTCATCTTTCTACATCGTAGCCATAGACTCGAGGACTCCTCGTCTTGTCCTCGCTGTCTAGGTGACGCCACCCCGCTCTTGTGCAGGGTGCCTCAGTCTGCTTCTCGCGTTGCTCTGATTGCAACGTCCCTCTGCGCTCCTGTGTCGTCGTCCGCAGCGTTGACAGCCGATCACTCGCGCGTCGCGTTGCCTCTGGCGACGTCGCTACATGATCCGCGGCCTGCCCTTCAAGCCAGAAGTACTGTGCCTCTGTGCCGAACGGGTTGCCTTGCCTGCCCTCCACCGGCCCCGACCAGGCAATCTTCGCCGCAATCCTCTCTTCCCGCTCTCTCCGCTGCCC